GGTGGGCGTGGCCATGGCTCTGGGCATGCTTCTCTCTACGTCAGTTTCCCCTCGAATCGGGTTCGTCCCCCATTCCGATTCGAGTTCCGAGTTTGAAAATCTGCGGTAGACGACTCCGTATTTTTTTTTCCTGGTAGGTGCCCCATATCCTGGAGAAAGAGAAGGTGACCCTGGTTGATCTCCTGTCCAACATCGGAGGAATCGTCGGCGTCTGCCTCGGCGTTTCCCTCATCACCGTCTTCGATTGGATCAAGGATTTTTTTTTTCCGGCGTCCGATGCAAATTCTTCCGCAAAGGGAACTAGTAACTCCATCATAAGTTTTGTCTACGAATGTCAGTAATTTCGCTGGAATCTCTGTTATTTGCTGACGTGATGTTGGAATAATTAATTTTCGGCAACATTCTCGCAATCAGCATTTATTCGCGGTTCTCTTGCACTGTCGGGTGAATCCCGAAAAGTCTCACCGCAGGATATTTCCTAAGGTCAGCGGTAATTCACTTTCTAAATGCACAGATATTGGATGAATTATGACTTCTCGCATGTAAGGTCCATTTCAACCTATGTTAATTTTACCTCAATGTCCTTGTAATGTCGTCATCATTATAATAATCCATTAAATCAAAACCGATGTTAACCTCATAGGAGTGGGATGTTTTCCCATACCGATCATCACGAAAGTTAAGAAAATTCAGGCGAAGTGGCTCTAATTCGTATATCGTACCTAATTGTGAATTTATCTAAGCAAGGATAGCCTCGATGATTGGTGGAAATGCATCATAAATAAACCAAGTTTGATGCAGTCACTTATCCAACCATTCACTTTATATTTCGCCCGTAGTGCCTGTATCCAACTGTATTTGTATATTTGTAAATTCCGTTCTCGTGACCAAGGCCCAGATCATCGTGACAAATATGGTGAATTATGTATTTTACTATACTCGAGTTCGATATGGTTCGCGTTTCATCCTGTTCGCTTCACCGTACGTCTGGAACGGAAATTGAAAGTCGCGTCCTCTTGCAAAAACGAAAGCGAAAAAAATTAAAGACTGTAGCATTGACCGATCGAACAATGCAACCCTGAGAGTTTTTTTTTTCAGCATGGTATGAAAATCGTGTGGTTTTTTGCAACTTCAAAAAAGGCACACGCCAGCCCTGTATAATGTCAATCCAAAATCGTTCGTCCGAGAAATGTTGAGAAAAATGGAATCATATTCGCGTATCATAAAAACTGCGAAATTAATAAGATAAACCTATTGCAGCAAAATACATCATTAAAATACGATATGGGGCCATCAAATGCATCCCACCCATGTCAATAAGGAATTTTCAGTCTTCAGATCTGGGCATTCCATGCATTCAAATGTATTTCCAGCATTTTTCGCACGAGACCAATACACGAATCTCCAAAATGGCAGATCCAATTCCTTTGGATAGTGACAGGTCCGTCCAAGCGTTTATTTTTCTCTGAGCCAAGTTGGATAGAAGTAAATAAAGCAAATTTCCAAATTGATTAATTACAGTGTCAGAATTTGCGAGAGTAAAAAGAAAATTGGGACAATGAATAAAGCTCGTCGATTTTATAGGCTTTGAGTAGGATCGGGGTAACGCGTTGGGCAAATGAGGTGGGAAAGGGTCGCAAGAAGGGTAAGAAGGTGGGGAAGGGTCACAAGTTCACCCCCGAGAAAAATTCAGTAAATTAAATAAAATGCAGTAGTCCACCTCTCTTCAGCGCCTTAGAGGGCACGGCGGCTGCTGCCGTTCCTGCGATGTCCTCGCCCACTGCAGCGACTTCTCGTGGGGGATGACCGATGGGCTGTGGTCGGGTGAAATGAGGATGGCCTCATTTCACTCGGGAGGAGCTGAGCCGTCGAAGTACGGGCTGTTTTTAGGATATCATTGAGCCCGTCTGGAGTTTCATGCAGCATCTCGCTTAGAATGCTTAACTAAGGCTTATTATAGGCTGATTTCGAGTTTTACGAATAATTTTTTCATTTGCACGGGTGATCTAATGGGGTTAACCGGGGGTTTCTGGAGCCATCAAGACGCGGAGCACCGTAGAGTCTGCACAGCCCGTATGAAACGGAGCTTCAAACCTTCTTTTCTTCAGTGATTCTTTTAAAAGAACATTATAACTTGAAGGGGGAGAGGAAATGACTTTAGCGCAACCAAACCTGCTCACTTTCCTTTTTTCGTGACGGAAGCATCACGGACTCCACCCACACTTTTGCAAGGTTTTTATTTTTTATTTTCTCGAGGCTTCCTCGATTTCAATCAATCGCATCCCGCCTCCACTTCACTCGCGAAGGCGATGCCAGCGAGAGAACCCTCCTCGTGCCAGCCTCCATCCAATAACGGATTTCAAGGCGCCACTGCGGTCGATTGGACGACCGATTCCCGATGTCGATCGACCGATTCATCGCGCGAAAGCTTTCACCTTTTTTTTTTTCGGAGAAAAAGGCATTTTAAGAGATCTCATCAGCGAAAAGGCTGAAAATGGAGATTGGGGGAAACGCGGCCCACAAAAGGAACCGCGTTTCCTCCAATCTCCATCGTCGCGTCTGCCCAATAAAATAATAATGATATTTCAGTCGATTCATTATTCGAATGGCTCGGAGAAAGCGATCGGAATTCCGACCTTGGCACTCGCTCTGGACGGGAAAGCTCAATTTTCTTGAAGACGGTGAAAGTCGAACAGGCGACCACTCCCTTCAGGGGAGGGGGAAATACTGGGATAATTATGAATCAAGGGTGCAAATGGGTCCATGTTAAAATTCGAAAGTTATGTGGACATTATGGTACGGTACGATCTTGTACGTACGGACATATGCTAGTTATGGATATCCTGAGCTATTTTCCCTGATTACGAGTCCCGGGGCATTAAAACATGTCCTCCAATAACATAAGGTGTCGGACCAAATATTAGGAAATAATAGTCTCAGGAACACATACCATACCCGCTGCTAGTACGCCATTAGCTTCTTCCTCATCTATATAATAATAGCTCCTGTCCTGTCTTTCCGCCGGCGGCCTGCACGGGTCGACCTTTCCGAGACCGACACCATCGACCCGACTCGAAAATTCGGTCGGACCCTACCCGCGGGCCGTGTCGGGCTAGATCCGCAGACCCGCTTAGGCCTCTAAACTTCAGAACTCACGGAGTCACGGGGTTTGTCTTTTACCTGAGCGGCTCTATTGGCTTTGCCGACGATGCCACCTGACGTCCTGTGACGTCGCATTGGTGCTGGCCTGCTCAGTGCTCTCACAATTCGCCATGTTCCGCTGCTTGCTGCTTGCCCAAGAGTGACGTCATCAATGGGGTGTCCGGATAATATATATACATATACCACGACCTCGATGAATCACTGCAAACCATCGCTTCATTCCCCACTCAACTCGTGAACTCGGCACGAAATTGCTTCATATATAATGAAAAATAGAAGTTCCAGACGCCAATACGAAGGTTGAAGTAGTCTTGAATCCAGCATATTTTCGGCACGATATCCGGCAACACTGTCTCCCAATGTTGCCGGATTTAATGACAGCTAATCCCTTTCATCATGGCGAAACGGTGCATCTCAAGGTGAACCCCCCCAGGAAATGGGGTTTCAAATGTCGATGGAGCTATTCTGTTTCGTTTGGAGACATGCCAAATTTTGTTCCTGTTGATGTTCTCAGAGAGGAACAGGGGGAAGGCGAGATTAGATTAAAGAAAGATAATAGGAGGATAACGCGCCTATTCATCTCCATTCGAAAGTATCGGGAGACATTTCTCCATCAGCGCTAAAATAAAAAAAAAGGGTCGAAAGAGAAGGGAGGAAATAAAGCGAGCCAAAGGAGAAAACGCCGCGTTGTTCTTCCTTAATAAATCAATTTACCGCGATGAGCCCATAGTGATGAGCCGAACTCGTGGAGATTTTCCTCAATGGAAAATGTTCTCGAAAGGGCTCCAGATTCTGTCATGCATATTAGAAAGACATTTTCGACTCGATGAAAAATAGATTCACATCCTTCATGGATTCCTACCGACCATTTAAATTTCGCGTTTGGGGAAGAGCAATGTGGAATTCCAAGCATGCTCTCGGACTTCTGTTCTGGAAAAGTTCTGGAACCAAGGCAGTTACAGTTGCAATACACCGTTCTGAAATTCCATCTCACTTGTCGACTAAGGATAACTTCTATCGATTTTTGTAATATGCTTCCGAAGGGTCCGCTGAAGGGGTATTAACATTGAGAATAATTCTGTGTGGAATTTTGTAGCCTTTTGGGAGCAAACCTGCTTTTAGAGGTTGGACTCTTTCCTCTCAGTCTCCGAAAGATCTGCTGGGGGGGTCGGCTCCTCAGAGGTTGGAAAATTTGTTAATTGCATTTCTTAATTTTAATACACCTTCAGCAGACCCATCGGTAGCACGGTGAAAAATTTCATAGAAGTTCTCCTTAACCGACAAATGAGATGAAATTTCGCCAGGTATCATCAAAGACGTCTGTCTTCTTATAAAAGTAGGAATGGTGTATTGCAACTGTAACTGCCTTGGTTCCAGAACTTTCTAAACTCCCCTCGTATTTCCTTTGCTTCATTATTCCCTTTTCCTTTTTATATTTCCCAATGATTGAGGTGTGACAACAAGTTTTACAGCTAACCTTCGATATACCCCCACTCTCGCTTACCGTCAGCACCTTTACTGTACTTGCACAAACGTGTCTTATTCTACGTGTTACTCGATATTGCGTCAAGCAGCATACTTCACTACCCACAATTGCTATACCATCTACAAAATGAAATGCTTGCAGTTGCTCCTTTCGGTCGCCTGATCGATATCCGATTGCAAGGGACGATTTAGCGTTAGAATGAGTCTCCAGAGATTACAGAGGAGCGTATAGGGTTGCATGCTGCCTAATTTTCTAAGACCTATGTGTCGGACATACAACGATTCAATGCACTCTTGGTGAATGCGACAGTTTCCAGCAAGGAAGGAGAAACGCCTACAATGCCATAAGCTTGGCCACGTTTTTATTAGTGATGTTCCAGACAGTATATTATTGACAGTAATTAATAGAGGTCTCGATCGACTCTTTTAGATCCAAGTGAATTGGACACGCAGGTAAACACCTTTCCGTTTTTATTTGGACAGGCTCCAAGAGCGAGGAGTTAGAGTAAATATGGTATTCATCACAGTTCCACGGGACCTTTGGGAAATTCAGATCCCCAAAATGGAAAAGGGGATGGTTTCTCCAGTTTAAAATCTATTTTCGGGGGTAGAGGTAGATGATGAGGCCAACGACAATGAAAATGCCACAGACTATGAAGATCGATGCGATTATGCACTTCTTCCGTCTTAATGAACACTGGAAACGAAAAGAATCAGAATGTAATTCATCACGGGAAATGATTAAACAGAGTGACATAGATCTACAGCACTGTCGCGATGTTCAACGAATGGAAATTAGTGAATATGTTCATCACAAATAAATGCTTCTTTTGAAAAAAAAATGATTAGAGGAATATGCCATCGGAAATCATTGAATTAGGTTTAATATATGCAATATGACCTATCCTCAATGAGCATCGGAATTATATTACTAGCGATCTTTCACCAGCCCTTTCACATCCTTTAGGAAAGTGAATGATTCTTGCATTTGAAATATGTTCGTCACTTTTAACTTAAATACTTTTATTTCGTAATTTAATCCGGTGGCTGATCGTTATATACGATAGTAGTGCCGAGTCGATGGGGGCAGGGTCGACCTACTGTGTCTCCATCGACTAGCAACTGTTCTTTTGCTGTCGATCGCGAGTCTCCGATTTCCCTTCCCAGCCATGAAGGTTGTTAACTCGTGAAATTTTCCCAGCAAGTGAGGAAAAATTTTTCAAACAATTCTGATATGCATTTCACCGACGAGGAGCAGAAGATTGGATAATCCCATTGGTCATGGAAGAGTTTCTCCAATAATTCAAAATTGAACATCGACTTCTCCATCATGCTTCTTTAGCGTGTCCGTCGCATTAAATGGAGGTTGGATTCAACAAATGATTACGTGAAAATGAAAACTAGAATGATATAAATCTTTATCATAATGGTGCACTGGAAAGAAGTACAAAAGAGCTGAGGCGGCATCGAGCCAAAATTATGATACGATAAACTAATAAGCCTGAACCTGCCCCGCGATGCCAAGAGAGAGAGAGATATGGTCAAAATAACTGTAAATATTGCGGAGTAATATTTACACATGAATATTTGAATATTTGGCCTGAATACTTTTTTTTATCGAAGAGGCATGAAGCGCGAACGGTGAGTGAAAATAAGTATAAAAAAAATCACCAGGTAGGATTTTGTCTTTTGAAGCGCTCGGTTGCCCTGATCGATGCCGAATTGGGCATTCTCGACGTTCGCCCCGATGTCGTCCACCATCTGCCCTTGGTCGTGCACCACGGCCGCCAGTTCCGTGAAAATCTGGTTCATGTCCTCAATATTTCCCTGCTCAACAACAACGAATGTATGTAATGCTGCGATTTCATCCCGTTCCAACTTAATCACATCACACCGAACTGTGAACCCAGAATTTCGAGTTTTAAACTTAGGCGGCGAGTTTCATCAGGCCCCAAAAAATGGCAGGAATTGCATTGAAGCCAACGAAACGCCAATGCCGACGATTGGGCCCATAAATGAAAGAGAGCCAGAGCAGCCGCACATTACTTCGAGAGCCTTCCCTCGCACTCGATTAGTTTTTGAAAAAGGATGCCGCCGGGACACAAGAGACAGAACCGAGCCAATGGTTGAACACGGGTATACCTCCAGTTCTCGTAAGGTAATCTCCCCTTCTCGCAGTGCAGCCAAGTCTTCATACATGAGGGGCTGCCTCTGGATATCACCTTGGAATCCTATCGACTCTGATGCTTTCGGCTCCATCAGGACTCCTCCGTTCTCGTCTGCCCGTCCAAGTGGACCGTCTGCAATATGTTGAGGTATTGTAATTGAGGATGATTGCACACGAAACCATCATGCCTATGAAGCCCTCATTCCTCTTAGAGTGCATTCGACATATGTAAGTTTGCTAATATTGAGATTTGCTGAGTTTAGCATTCAAGTACGAGCAATGACAGCGTTTTGTGTGCTTGTATCAGGTTAGGAAAGTTTGCAGGAAGTCGGCATTAGCCTTCTATCTCAGCCATTCCTACGTGAAAAAAGTTACCCCTTTTTCATTCCGCTATAACATTTTTTTCTAATTAGGTCAAGTGCCTATAATCTGAACCATTGTTTTGACTGGCTAAGCGAAAATCAAATGCACTTTTTTTTTTTAAGTCAGTTAATAAGTATTTGCATAGTGACGTCTTAACGCCGAGAGGTGGAAAGCCGCCGCTTCGCGACAAACCTGCCGATACCATTATAAACAGGCTGAAGAATCATTATGGACCATTAGGAAGGCCATTATGAACATGCTCTGTTCAACAGACGATTCGGTTGATCGAGGCTCTTGCGGCCTAAATTTGCGTAGACCCCATCATTATGCCTTAATTTGGGAGTTCTTACGCTTTCATCTGCCTATATTTTTGCCAATAAATGTTTGCCACCTTTTTGGCAGAAATGTTTGCCAATGTTTTTTTCGTGCAATGTTAGCCTTCACGTACACGTGGAGTACTTGCATGTCGAAGCCGGTGTCTAAGATAATCATCACCTGAATCAAGCATGATGATCTCAAAAGAGAAGGAAAGCAAAATAATTAAGCCTCATGTCGTTAACCAAAAACGCATCGGGAAGAGGAATACGAATACTTGACAAGGATACGAGCGCCACCTGGTCGGTGAGAGGTCAAAGCATTAATAACGTTTGACGAAACTTGCACTTTCTCGCTGTGAAAAAAAAACCTGTTTTGCTTTTTTACTGCCAACAACGGGATTTTTCGTTATATCAACAGAGTTTGGATCTGAGTTTGCATTCCTGAAGATAGCTTTGGCGAACGGGCGGGGGGGGGGGGCGAAATCCTTGGGTGAACTTTGAAAAGTTATATTTGAGGAACGGGGAAATTATGTATCTCTGTGCTCCGTGAAGCTCTGGTAGAGTAGGAATTCAGGTGTAGGACTATACTTCAGAGTCGAAGAGCGAGATGGACCATGCTAATTTCTGAAAGAAGCAGGAAAATGTTATGATACTCTGAATCAAAAACGATCAAACAAAGCTTGGGCGACGCGTTTCCGCTGCCAAAGGAATTCAGTCAGAATGAAAACAATTCATCTCCAGTCCATTATGATTTACAAAATGCGGAACCGACCGATCCGAAGAAGCGGTGGAGAAAGAATGGAAAAGGAGCAAAAGTCATACTGAAGACAGTGAGCGAAGGAGCTCTGGCCCGGAGCTGCTCCCTCTGCTGCCGTTTCAAGTTTTGCTCCTCTATCTGCAGGCTCTGGAACTCATTCGCCACATCTAGCAAGTGGTCCCTCAGGCGGTCCAACTGTAATTTCCTTACCCTCTGGGATAGAAGTTCCGTCGGATCAGTAACATGTTCGTCACGAAAGACTCTCCAGAAAGGAATACATAATTAAAGGTGAGCAAAGTAGCCAAACGTAACCATATTAACTGCATGACATAAATCGCACATATTCACAGTGGTTTTCAATTTATATCATATAAATTGAAAACCACATTCATATTCATATTCATATTCAGGGATATGACGAATCCAGTATGAAACGGAACCCTGTCAAATTTCGAAGTAATGCATGCAACACATTTCGTACTAGCTGTATCAAGTGAGTGCCCCATCCATCTGTGAAACCAAACATACCTGTAGTAAGATTTTCCTGTACCAGCGATAACCTCTAATTCCTTGTATTGAAACATGATAACTGCTCGAAGAAGGGGGACGCCTACTGACCTGCTCCTCCTTCGGTAGGGAGCGGAGTTGCGCTTGGAGTGTCTTTATCGCGGCAGTTGCGTCTTCCGCCATCTGCTTCGTGCGGCACTGCAGCTCCCGTCTGGTATCCATCCTAAGACACTCACGGCACATCAGTCATCGAAGCTCATTTCATTGTTTGCTCCTATACTTAAGGATTTCATATCGGAGGCAGTATGAACATGGACGATTCCAAGCACTAGTCATAGATGGAGAGTTTCGTGGGATGAGGTTCGTTTGCAATGATAGGACAAGCAGGGAATGCGTTAATCTGATATTCCAGTTCACAATAGAATTTTAAAAATTGAACTGAAATATCGAATAACCCATCTAGCGAAGCACATCTGCATTTATAATCGCATGACACAGGATTTGACTCAAGTTTAAATTTTAGTCATGCTTGAAGGGCTTCAGACACTGTTGCTGGAATTGAATTGAATTTTAATTGAATTGCTGGAAGTGAATGGAAAACTGAGAATCGAGACAATAAATGAATTCACTTTTGAGTCTTATATTGCCAGGCATCCTTGGATGTTCCCAACTGGTTCACCGGTCGCTTCAGACTTTGCACTACGGACGTGATACAGCAAGAAAAACAGCATTAAATGAATTTTCAACGTATATAATAAATATTTCCTGTTTTATACTGGACATAGACGTTACGTCACCGCGGTGCATACCGTTCCGCGAGAGCTTCTGGATGTCGGCAGCGAGGGCATCCTGGAGAATCTGGAACTGCTCCAAGCTCGCCCGCGAACTTTGGGGCGAAGGGAAGCTCCTCATCTCGAATCCTGTCCCTCTGCCCGGCTTGAAGAAGGTATATAACGCGGATGGAGAACCTCCTCGACCGAGCCCTCCTCCGCCTCCCTGACTGATGCACTGCAATGTGAATTGTAGGGCATGAGCCTCCTCTGCATCAGAAACCAGCAGCGCCGAAAATGAAACCAACAGCTTCAACTGACTTCGTGAAAGGATTTACATAAAAAATGAATATCAATTAGCGATTATTGTTCCCGGGGGAAAGGTCAATGAACCAACGCATTTCCCAAGGCATTAAATTTAACTAAGATTCATGAAATTTAACTAATATTCAATTCAAGTTATACGTTTAATAATTTGAATTTTCCTCTTTCTAATTCCCTATTACGCCCCTTTATGAAAAATAGGGCAAATCTGTGAATTCCGCAGCTTCTTTGGATCCCAACTGTCTGTTCCCTTGTTGACTGTGTTGCATTGCACCTTCAATGAAACGGGAGGAAAAGACGAATCGGACGACTCGAAGCACGGAAGGATTTCCCTCCTTAGAATTTACTGGTTTCGATTTTGTCGCGATCATGCTTCCCGATGAGCATCTGGCTAAACACGTGACCCTGCTGCTAAAGCCGCAGCGCCTTTCTGGGAATTCCGCGACACCATTCTCGGAATTCGGCAACACCATTCTGGGAATCCCGCAACCCTTGCTTCTTCCGTGGACTCTCGCCCTTCAAGAGCAAAGTTATTAATTGTCGTGCCCTTAACTTTGGCAATAATCGGCAATAATTAATATTTCCATTTTTTTTCAGGCTAACAAGGAGTTTAGGTATTAAGAAAAAAAAAATCTCAACCGAACGAAGCGAAAAAGAACGTCTCCAAGATTCCCATGACAAGTAAAGGTGACCTTTTTCGTATTTTCCCTTTTTTTCATTTTTTTCGGCGGTAGAAAGTGGGGGGCCTCAAGGCGTCTTTAAAAGGGGAAGGACTTCCAACGCACGCCGCAAACTATCCTGGCGATATTGTTTCCCTTCAAGAAATTGTCATACATCGATTTCCAATGTTAAAACATTATTTGCCATCATTATATCATTTATGGTTTTTCGTGGCACAACAAACATTTTGGAGTTCCGCGAAATCCCATCCTGCCAGATTTGGCGGCGTTAATTGCCGTCAAATCTCTTGCTCTTCCTGCAAATACTGATTGCTTCTCCTATCCTTATTGCCGATTGTTATTGGCTTTTCCTTCGTCGTCTGGTTCTTTTTTGGTTCGACCTTTCCTGTTGCACATTTCCTTGCAAATGGCAATATCCAACTTATTATAAGTAATATACGAATTAAAAATCGCACGCGACACGCACGACAGAAGACTGAGCGATGAGAGCGCGAAATTAATCAACCTTGCCGAAAAGGAGAAAACAGGAAAATGTCCCAGCAAGAATTTGCGGGATTCACCGATGGTTCATTTTCCGATCGCGCAATTCCGCGACGTCGGCAAGGCTGATACTCAATGAGTTATCTTGATCACCTAAAATCACTCGGTCCTAAAACGATCAAAGGACTGAGTGGAGGTGCAATCTACATTGACATATGCCCTAAAATATATTTATATTTATAGATGATGTTTGACTCGTGCCGAGCAATCGGACTCTCGCTAATGAGCAGTTCATTAATTATTAAGTCATTACACGTCATTAATTACCCAGTTGAGATGAAAGAGCTGTGATCGCAGTGATGTCACAGGACATATGGCATCGACCATTAAACTAGAAAGGGTACCGATTGAGGTTCATACAGGAAAATGACATAGTGGAAAATGCATGTGTTGCGGAATTACCAGATTTTCCCTAATTTCTTAAATTCACTTGAAAGAGCAGAAGATCGATTTCTTCGTGCTTCCGCCACACCCCGAAACAAAACTTCACCCAGTGCGACCGCGAGTGCGTGAAAGTAGCCATAAAACGAGCAAAAAGTAGATATAATTGCAGGCATAAAACCAGATGCAGAGGGTCTATGGGAAATTCCGTAGGAACTCAACCAGGCAGGGCGCTCGACCATCTCGGATTTCGCGGTGAAAATTCTCAGCGATTGCAGTCGGCCTAACGACTCCATGAAAGCAAAAAGAATCGGCTCCTTTGGGTCTGCAGTGAGCGAGAGCGTGAGAGTGAGAGTGAGCGTGAGCCACTCAAACTCCGAGGGAAAACGGGAACATCCCATGGACGGTCACATTTTCATCTCAGGAACCGTTCATCGTGCAGGAGGCGTGCAATATGGCTTCAATTGGAGATCTTCGATAGATGAACAATTATATTCACACATCCTTCGAGTACGAACGAGATTACCGCGGGGGTCTGCATAATTCATGGACCCGACCCACATGTGTCCCTGGATTGCACGTCTACTTCCTTCGGTTGGAGGAAGTAGCATTCTTCTCTCGACCGAAGGAAGTAGAAGAGAGAACCTGCGAGCACGTCGCTTTACGGAAACTCCATTTGGATCGAATCTACTTAGTTTCGTACGTGGTTTTCAAAAGGAATGAGGGCATATTTCTTCACTGGACTCCATGATTATATCTGGAAGATGGGGACGACAAATAAGGAACTGTCGAAGTTTATTGATTGCTACAATGAGGCAAGGCGAGACATTTGGGGATCTACAAAACTCTCTTGTCAGAGATGATTCCTTGGGTAAGGGGAGGGCACTTTTGCGCCCTTTCAGAAATGCGAGAACCCAATACTTCCATCTAGTGACCTAGAGGAGAACTTCAAACGGAACCCTATAGGCCTATAGAGAATCCTATAGGTTCTATAGGGAACTCTATAGGTTCTATACGGAACTCTATAGGTCCCAAACTGAACTCTATGGGGAATATAGGATCCTATAGGATTCCTATATATCCCTAAAGGAATATATAGGAATCCTAAAATACATTTTCGTAAGGGACATATCCACGACCTTGACCTTCCACCTCGATTTCCATTTTTTTAAATGCATAGTTGAAAACTAAGAACATTGACTGACCTGGTTCTCCCGATACGTTCAGCTGAAAACGCCAGAGACGAGAGTTGCATCTCTTCACATGCCTACCTCCGATATCTCACAGGCAATGGAATCCGAGATAAAGAGAGAGAGACGGACTGATACTAGTCTTGTGAATCATCTATATCTAATCTGAACACAATATTTACCACGGATAGGGAAGCAGGGAGCATTGCCCCCACCCTCTGTTCACACATTAAACATTTTTGTATTCGTCGCCGACGAAGCGTATGGAGTAAATGCCTAGTCCAATATTCAGTGGAAGAGACGAATGCCGCGCCATCACGTGGTCCTTCGCCTCAATTTTAACACAAGCATAAGGGGAATGTCGCTTCTCCTGGTGGGCATTTGGCTTTCCTCAGGAGGAACGGGCTTTCATCGACAAAAATCTGATACCGAGGGGGCAACATTTAATCGTTTCTTTCATATTTCTCTGCTACAGTTGGCATCACAACACCACCTTTCTTTTATGGTACTATATATATATATATAAAATAAATAAATCCTTCCACGGCATCTGCCGGTATTGGAGATATGAGGGGGGATGAACCACATCCCAGACCTCATACTCGTCTTAATTCTGAAGGACACGGCGAAGGATGCTGGCCGTGCCCAAGATTGCTGTACGCTGGAGGATATCCAGTGATATTTCACACTCCAGCTTCCTGACATGTCCTTTGAGGTCTTTCAGGACGACGCCAGTTGTGCCTATGATGATCGGAACTATGGT